ACTTGATCAAATGAGGGTAATACAAACGAACTGAACACAAAGAGCAAACTAATGAGAGGAAAATTAATCTCCTGGGGTTGCATTACAGAAAAATAAAAATGACCTTAAATGAACTAACAGATCAAGAAGAAGCAGATTTCATCAATCTCTCAGCAGATTATGACACTGCCTTTGACAATCATAGCATCTAGAATAAAGGTAGCAGATAATAACAAGATTGCAGTGGTAGCTGGTGGTTCCCATATTAGTGGGGTAGTGACTCTGTTCCACATTTTTAACCAGAGCTTTAAAGGACCTATCTAAAATGCTAAATATGGGGATCAGAAAGTTCAGACTAAAAGCAGAAGCGGATTCACTGCCCTCATTGGCATGGAAACCACCATTTACCACTGTTGGACTGTGTCAGGAAACTGTGACAGACACATTGTGTAAACAAACAAACAAACAAAATCCCACAAATCAAGTTACACTCCAGTCTTGGATCTGCACAATTGGTTATGCAGCAAAAAGCACAATTTCACACTCTTCTATTGCACAATTGTTGACCCAACACTCCTCTCTCTTTGCTAAGGACCAAACCTACAGAAACTCCTAGGCAGTGATCCAAAGTGTGTACAATTGTATCACAGAGTCTCTGCAAACCTGAATAAGATGCCACCCTTGCATAACGTCAAAGAAAGAGCAACCACTTGTATGCCAGGGTAAACCCATAACAGGATTCTGGCCTAAATGCACCATCAAAAACAACATGCTTGGTTTGGCCAATGCATTCAGACTCACCCTTTTAAGGATGTGTTTCTCTATCCCCATATCAGACAAAAACTTTGCATATGTTTGTGTGTGCCTATCGTCAGTAATAAACTAGAAGTAATGAGGGCAAACAAATTGGAAGTTATAAGGTAGATCAGGGAAAATGGACTCAATCTATGCTGGATGAAGTTATACATTCCTTGAAAACACCGATTTGCAGTTTGGGTGCACTCCTGAATTCAATCCTGAGCCAGGAAGCTCAGGTTTCAATTGTGGTGAGGAGTGCATTTGCAAAGATAAAGTCTGTGCACCAGCTATACCCTTTCCTAAAGAAATTAGATATGGCCAGTGTGACACATACCTAACAAGGTTACATTCTTGGTTAGATTGTTGTTATGCACTCTATGTGGGGATGAAAATGTTTGGGAATGTCAGCTGGTCCAAAGAGCTTCAGACAGATTGCTAACTCCATAGCTCCACTGGATGCTACTTTGCTTCCTGGCACAATTTAGAATGCTGCTGATGATCTATAAAGGTCCATAGGACTCAAGACCAGGTTCTTGGAAGGTCTGTATTCTCCCATTGGAGCCTGCCTATGGTTTGAAATCTTTTTTTTGGGGGGGGGGGTTCCTCACTGTCCCACCACCTTCACAAGTACATCTGGTGGAAACACAGGACAGTTTCCAGGCTCTGGAACTCCCTTATTAGAGGTTGTCAGTATATTTTTGCCCCAGGCCTTTTGCACCAAGCCTGGCTTTCTACTTCTGAGTTCCATCTGGCATTTCTTTCTTTATGTGCACCCATCTGTATTCTACAATCCTGTGATCTCCTGGCCTATCCACCACTTCAAAAACTTTCCTTTCTACAAGTGACTCAAATTCAGAGTCCATGGCCTGGTTCTACTTCTCTTGTTCCTCCTGAGGAAATCTCAGCATGTCCTGAAAACTGTTAGGTTCCTCAGCTACCATAGTGCAAACCCTTGCCTCTTGGATGACAGATCTATTATTATTATTATTATTATTATTATTATTATT